GGAGGGAGGAGGGCAAAAGGGATGATTAGGCACATGTGTGTGGCGATGGATTGTAATTAGTATTTGGGTGGTGAACATGATGTAATCTATGCAGAAATAAAAGTATAATGATGTACACCTGAAATTTATACAATGTTATAAACCAATGTCACTGCAATAAATACATATATATTTTTTAAAAAAAGAATAGTAGCATCTGCTATTGTCTAAATATTGCTAGGGTTGTAGACAAAAGGTTGACGAAGAGTAGTGGGAAGACAACAGGAAGTTCTCCAGCATACTTTGAGATAAGTCTGTTTTGGATCTTCTATGCTACTTCTGTATATTTTATGAGATAGACAGAATAAGTTTTCAGGGAATACTTTGGACTTTTTCTAAATTTACAGTTATTCCAACACTCAGTTAGGGGGAGCACAGAATATTTTACTCTAGCAAAGTTTAAAGGTAGCTTTTCCATTTTTGCAAAAGATGCTCATAGTCTACCGAGGAAGTTAGAAACATCCTTGTGTAACTATAAATTAGACAATGATAAGTGGAATAATTTGATTATTTAAATATTTGGGGGTTGGAGGTATCTATTATGTGCCAAGTACCATATAAGGTGACAGAGACTCAAATATATACAGGATGCAATCATTGAAATTCAGGGCCCTCAATTTAGTATAGGAAGAGACACATGGACTAACTTCAAAAGTCAGTTGGATAGTACAAATGATACTAGACAAAGTAGTGGCACAAAGGATGAGACATCACTTCTACTGGAGGTGTCAGGGAAGGTTTCAAGAGAAAAAGATATCTAGGCTAGATATATAAAAATAAGTAGGTCAGAACTTGGATAAAACGGACACATTCCTTGAAAAATGCAACTTACTAAAACTGACACAGATGAAACAGGAAATTTAAATAGCCTTATATCTATTAGAGCAATTAAATGCATTATCTAAACCCTCCCACAGAGCAAATTCCAGGTCCAAATGGCATTATTGGTGATTCCTATCAAATATTAAAGTAAGAAATAACACTAATCTCAGAAAATTCTTCCAGAAAACAGAGGAAGAGGAAACACTTGCAAACTCATTTTTTTAAATCAAAATTGGACAAATAAATTACAAGGCAATTACAGACCAGTGTCCTTCATGAACATAAACACAAAAATCCTTAACAAAATTTTAATAAATCAAATCTAACAACATATAAACAATACATCATTACCAATAAGCCAGAGAGAGAAAGACAAACACTGCATGATTTCACTCATATGTGGAAGATAAACTAACACACGGACAGAGAGAACTGTTTGGTGGTTACCAGGGGCAAGGGGGTTGGGAGGTGGGCACAAGGGGTGAAGGGAGGCATTTATATGGTGACTGACAAACAATAATGTACAACTAAAATTTCACAATGTTATAAACTATTAAGACATCATAAAAAAAATACATCATTACCACTAAAATTTCACAATGTTATAAACTATTAAGACATCATAAAAAAAATACATCATTACCAATTAGAATTTATTCCAGGAAGGTAAGATTGTTTTTATGTTTAAAAATAAATTAATGTAATTTGCCATATTGATAGGATAAATGGGAAAAAAGCATATCATTATTTCAATAGATACAGAAAAAGTATTCAATAAAATTCAACACATAGTCATGATTTTTTAAAAAAAACCTCTCAGAGTATTAGGAATAGAGAGGAATTTTCTCAATCTGATAAAAGGCATTCTATAAAAAACCAATTGTTAACATCATCCTTAATGGTTAACTATAAAATTATTTCCCTCCAAGACTGGGAACAGGGCAAAGATGCCTGCTCTTAGCACTTCCAGTCAATATTTCACCGGACATCCTAGTGATTGTAATAAAGCAAGAAAAATAAAAGGCTTAGACAGAAAAAGAAGTACCATTGCCTCTATTTGTAAGCAACATGCTTGTTTATGTAGAAAATCCTAGAAGAATCTACTTAACAATGACCAGAATTAATAACTGCATTTAGTAAAATCACAAGACCAAGATTAACACATACAAGTCAACTATATTTTTGTATACTAGCAGCAAATCATTGGAAATGAAAACCTAAAATCCATTTATAACAGCACAATAAAACATAAAATACTTAGGAATAAGTTGTCAAAACTATACATATAATGAGTAGAACTGTGGCTCCCAAAAGATACGTCTACCTGGAACCTCAAAATATGACCTTTTTTAGGAAAAGGGTCTTTGTAGATTAAGGTTAATGAAGGTACAGATCTCAAGAGGAGATCATCCGTATTAGGCTGATCTCTAAGTCCAATGACAGTGTCCATACAAGAGACAGAAAAAGAGACAACATTGAGACATAGAAGGAGAAAGCCATGTGAAGACAGAGGCAGAGAGATTGGCCAAGGAATGCCAAGCACTGCTGGCAGACACCAGAAGCGAGGCATGAAATGGATTCTCCCTCAAAGCATCCAGAAAGAACCAACCTGCCAATACTTTGATTTTGGACTTTTGGCCCCTGAACTGTGAGAATAAATTTCTGTTGTTTCAGGCTAACCAGTTTGTGGTAATTTGTTATAGCAGCCCTAGGAAACTAATACAATGTTTAAGACCTTTACAGTGAAAATGGCAAAATATCGCTCGGTGTAAAGACCTAAAGAAATGCAGAGATATGCCAGGTTC